ATTTTAGGGTGTACACTCCTTTGAAACCCTGAATAATCAACCTTGGGGCACAAACCTTGGTCTTATCGAGCATTCGACATCTACTTAAAAACAATTTCATCCAGTCAAACCTCTTTTTTGTATCAGTGCGACTGAAAACCTTTTTACAAACGAACAATATATTATCCATTTTCTACCGGGATACAAACAAATTCTTAAGCCTCTCATGTGCGAGCATATAAGCAACGCTTAACCGCTAGAATGCGATTAAGCAGGACCCATTCTACCGCGACACAAGCAAGCGATTAAGCTTCCCATGCGCAAGCATACAAGATCCATTTAACTGCTAAAATGCAACTTAAACATCGTTCACTAAAATCTACCAACACATACGTGATTTTCTACCCAGAACCTTGTAACCTTGAGTTCTCCATTTCACATAGGAATACGTTGGAGCGAGATTCAATGTCTCGTCAACCACCTTATTAAAAAAATTAATTTTTTAGTCCTATTTTTAAACTCTTAATAATTGGAATAAACATACGAAAGCTAACATTCTATTCACAAAGCTAACTAAATGGTTCTCGTTGAGTATAATAGATGTGAGGGGTGTTAATACCTTCCCCACGCATAACCAAATCATGAACTCGAATTTGGTTGCGACGACTATTTCCTTTTTCTTTTTATTTTTTAATATATTTTCAATTTTTCTTTTGGAATAAATAACTTCGGTGGCGACTTTGTTATTATTTCGAGAGTGCGAATGCCCGCGTATTTTTTGCGTCGCGATAGGTAGTAGTGATGTGTTGCTAGATATTACTCACTGTTTATTATATTAAATATGCGATTCAATATAATTCTCAACGTCATGAGAGCCTACAGGGCCACAGACAAAAGGACAAATCTATGCGAGATAGAATAAATAAAGAACACCGTAAGGTACAATACACTTAAGTGGAATACGAAGTACATTAAGGTACTGCGGGCTTAAGTGAAATATAGTACACCATTAGGTACAATCCACTTAAGTGAGATTTTTCAGGTTTTAGCCCACACAAGTGATTCTATAAATATAACTCTTGTGCAGAAGCTTTTATACTTGATGAAATTCGATTTGTGAAACTCTGATCGTAATTTCTTACTCAAAGTCTTCATTCATAACAACTAGCACTGATATTGAAGGCACTCTGTTCGTGTGGACTAAGTAGAGGCGCTGCTCTTCATTCAACGCTCTTGATCATTCTTGTGATTCTGCATCAAAGGTGTTAATCGCCACAAGAGGTAATAGTTTTATCATTGATCATGTATCATTCTTAAGGATCAACCAAAGGGAAGTTTTTGTTTTCTGATGCGTTTGTATCATGATCATCCTTCAAGCTCATTATAAGATCTTAGAGGAGGAAAAGGTAATGGCGAACTATGTCGTTGATGTGTTACCGACATGTAAGGGTGTTTGCAGGCCGGTTTGGTTCGGTTTCAAGAGAATCCAGTATCCAAACCGATCAAAAATATATGGATTAGTTTTGATTGAACTCACACTTTTTTTTTGACAAAACCCAAACCAAACCGAACCAAAAAACAACGGGTTGGTTTGGGTTGGATCGACCAAATATATTAGAAACAAATGTTCAAAAATGTTTTTAAAATATATCTAATTTTTATTGACTAATTTTCAATAATAATATATATTTTTTTTTGTTTCTTCGTATAGTTGTAAATGTCACAAATGACATTTCACTTTTTTTTCTTGTTGAAATTGAATATCTTATACTAGTTTCTATGATAATGATGATATCAATTATGTAACTTAATATGGTTGGTTCGTGTAAACGGGCTTGCGGGTGGGATTTTTAAAATCCGTTACCCAATCAATTTACATCAGGTTTCATTGGTTTGGTTTAGTTTTTTCCCGAACTAAAAAAAGCTCGACCCAAACACCTTGGTTTGATTCGGATTTTCCTGAACCAAAAAACACCCCTTTCGATATGTTACCATATTGTAGTTGTTTGGAGATAGACCATCGCTAAGGGCGAGTTTGAGGAAGACACTTATCAGATGACAACTCTATATGTCATCTTACCAGAGCCATAACATACGTTGCAACATCGATAATAAAGGAGGAACAAAGGCGTCATATATACCAATAGTTCTCTTTTACTTTTTATATTTTGATATTTTGTATTATTTGTTGTGAAATTGATTATGACATTTTGTATTTGACATTTTGAGATTTTAGCATTAGGATATATGCAATAACTCTTCTATTTTAATCTTACTATAGAATGACAAATGTATATGATTTATTAAGAAATTGATTTATAAATGACATATATTTTAATATTTATTAAAAATGTCAAAAAATTTCTAGCTTACTTATTGTAAAATATTGTTATGGGCAATTCCACAAATTAGAATTTGAAATTGTGTTTTTCTCAATTGTTTAAAAAGACAAAAATATGCATGCACGATTAATCCGAAGATTGGAATCTTGATCAATTTTTTGACAAAAATGGAATGTCACTCTAATGAAGTATTATGGTGTATAAGACATGCTTCAGAATTTTGAAATTCAAATTATACTAAAGAGCATTTTAAATTTCCATAAAATGTATGATCATTTCTCTTTTTTTAATCTATTTAAATTCTAACCCATATGAGTTTTACTGTTTAAACCACGATTTATGCAAACTTAATTTGAGGATTCATGGATTTGCTTGTAACCTGGCTATAATTTACTTTTAAGATTTACTACAATTTTATTCAATATAATTTTAGAAAATTTTTTATGGCCCTCTTAATAGTTCTATTGTGCTCTGTAAAATTTTACAAATGCTCACTGATTCCGAAAATATATCTCTGAACGTAAATGGACGTTGAAATATTCTGGAGATATATCTCCGAAACATTTTGGAGCATAAGTCGTACCACATTCTTCTCCTTCCTCATTTCACAGTTTTCTTCAAACTCAACTTAATCTCTCTCAATACACTTCCTTACACCAAATCAAATTTCATCAAGAAATGCTCAAAGGAACTCAAGGAAACATCAAACTTCATCTATAACATCATTCAACTTCCTAAAAACCATCAATTTCAAGTAAGTTTTTTGAATTTTCGATAAATTTTGAGTTTTAGTGTAAATGTGTAGAAATCAATGATTAAGGTTACAAATGTCACATGTAACATATTTTAGACATGGTGTATAACCTTTTTGTTGGCTGAAATTCCTGATCATATCATATTTTACATTTATAGTATGTGGTACATTCGTCACTGATGCAACTTCGGTGTTGCAGAACATTCTGGAGATGCATATTCGAAATTGTTCAACGCTTCATATACTTTAGAAAATTTTCGAGATGCATCTTCGAAATTGTTCAACGTATTACTTTAATGGTGCTTTCGAAGATGTATCTCTGAAATATGTCAACATTTTAGTTTAATGGTGCTTCCGGAGATGCATCTTCACAATTTTCTTAAGTATGTTTTTTTTTTATTTAATTTTCTTGCTTGTGTGTGTTGTTTGTGTGCACTATGCCTTACTTTACCTAACAATCATAATGACTGGTAGAGTTGACAGACTGAGACATGACAAAGTTGCTCAGCACGCATCCGCTCGGCAGGAGCGGAACCAACAAGTTCCAGAGGCTCTAGGTAGCTCTGGTCAGGCAGAGGCGTCAACTTCTGGGGCATCATCTACTCCTGGGACTTGTGCTTCACCTTCTTCTTTCTGTTGGACGGAGGACGGGGGGATTGATGGTCGAGGAGGTAGAGAAGATGTTGTTAGACACACACAATAGTAGTCTCTTTTTATTTTGTTGTAGTAATATACTTTGTACTTTATTTTGACGGTCTTACTACATTTGGATCTCGATTGTACGATAATTTCTATATATATATTGTTATTTTTATTTTCAACACATACAGTATTAATCTCTTATTACTTTGTTCAACTATTTTTATTTGCGATTGTACGTTATACTTCATCTGAATACGGATAAACAACTTATAGCATTAAATACATGTTCTACTATATTCTAGAGATACATTTCCGAAATATTTACAAAGATGAATCTCCGATTCAATTCAAATATAAATAACTCATGGATGAGTTGCATTGAATGTTTAAAATAGTTTTAGAAATGTATCTCCGAAATATGTCACGTTTATTCAAAACTAAATGTGTCCATATATACATCTTCAAAATCTAAAAAAATTTAAATAATTTCTCGTTGTAGCTAACAACTATCTAGGGTGCCATAATAAATTCTCCAATTTTATTGATAAAGAAGTACAAGTATAACTACCGAATATATAAATACTACAAATATTAAATTATGAAAATTATTTTTAAATATCTTTTATAATTTTTGTGGTCAGTACTTACTGCTTATAAATTTTATTTTATTTTAACATAATCAATAGTAATTTTTAATTTTTTTTGCTTTAAAAGAAATTTAACAAATATAGTTTATTTATTTATTTTGTTAAGGTCTGTGGATTAGCCATGGACTAACACGGGCCACACTCAGATCATTGTATCACAACACTGATACACTCGGATCAACGTATCACAACCCATAATTACAGATAGACCAACTTAGAGTGTTTAATATGCAGATTTATGGGACACGGGTTAAAACGGGCGGACCAGCAGCCCGCATACCCAGCTCTAGCAAGGTTTACCACCAAGTCATTGTCACTCTATGGCATTAAACAAGCAACTTTTTCATGCAAACTGTAAATACATTTGCAAGCCTCATTTAATATTCGATCCATCGATCAGTAATATACACCAAAAGACATTAGAACAGGCTAGACTGAAATGCCAGCTAACTTATTACCAGTACACCAACTGTATCTTACATTGATATCATTATTATACAAACAATAATTTAATCTTCAATTTAATCAATTGTTTTTTGAGTTAGAAAAATCATGTTCATAATATAAGAATCTTGTTCACTGAGTATATATCTGAGCAGTGGAGGAAGTTGAGGAAAGGAGGACCAAGATAGCTAACTACTGTTTCACCATGAAGGAACTTTTACAGCTACAACCGCCAACTGCACTGGGGTTCTCAGTCACCTGAAAATGAAACCAGTAAATCAATGTAAATTTGTCTTTGTTTAAATGTCATAAGAATGACATTCAATGTTATAAATGAGCAGATATAGGCACAATTACATGAACGTTTTTCTGTCCACGATTCACATTCACATTCACATACAATCTGAGGACTTTGAACTTGGTTCGAAATGCACATACAACTTCAAGGATGTGTAAATGTGTCTTCTTCTATTATGATATGATGCCGTCAAACATAAAAGACAACATCATTGTGAAATTCTGCAAGAGCAGTTTTTTTTTTGTTGAGCAAAGTAATTACCTAAATAACTGGATCACTATGGCAAACTGTGATTGCAAAGGATAGTTAACGACAAAAGCAAAGGGAGAAACAATAACTACCCACTCTTTTCGATATTCTTTAGTATTCGGTGAAATCTCTTACCAAACTCACATATAGAGATCGGGCTAAGATTATTTAGTTTGAGTAACATGTGATATACCCAACAATGGAGAAAGTGTCAACAAAAAAATTGTCAAATAGTATATTATTAATATTCTTTAATCAAAGTTCTCGGAATGATGCACCTTAAAATTGGAAGTATCTTTGGTGCTTCACATATTTTAGGAGCACATCATGCTTTAAAGTTGTTTAAGACTCCAAAAGTGGGGTATCGGGATAGTGTATAGTGGGGTATGGCCACTATTTGATTATTTTTTGGACAAATCACATGAATAATAATTATAAACATATGAAGTACAGAGGGAAGAACGAAGTGCAGAGAGAGGTAAGAGAGGAACTTGTGACTTTTCTTTGGAACAACTGCAGTGCAAAAATGTCGGTGAATGAAGGTTAGGGTTGAGTCTCAACTAAAATTTGATTGAAAAACTCCAAATTACCCTTAACATTTTAAATTTAAGGGGTAATTTCGGTTTTTCAGATGGGAAAAGGATAGCGGGACAGAAACAGCTCCGGACCGGAAACCGCTACGCCCCCAGTACCTGCTATTTACCCTATAGCGGCCGTTATAGTGTTCTGCACCGCTAAAGCTCTTTCCATAGTGCCTGGCCTCCACTCCGCTCTGCTATAGCAGGATAGCGCTGCTATTGGCCACTAGTATTGACTACTCTGGTTTAACAAATTACAAAACTGACATGCGAGCTTGGTTTAGGTTGCAGTGCTACAGTTGCTCCTCTCGACCACTATTTTGCATGAACAATTTTATTCTAAGTGTTACATTTTCCAAGGCATTTCTCAATGGTAGCTTTATTTTTGTTTGAACTGGATGGAGGTGTGCCTATGAATGGTTTTGGGAGAAAAGAGTCCAAAGCAAAAGCTTCGTCAGGAAAGAAACTGGATCATCCACATAACATGAAATGAAACGTGCATCTGCAGTTCACAAAATAGTTCACAGCATAATATGCAACCAAAATAGATAAGGTGCAAGACTAAGGCCCATTTTGGATGAACAGACTAATTAAGTGTTTATGTATAAGCTATATAGACTCCAAATACATCTAAAATCTAAATGCATTGCTTGGATGATGACGAAAGAAGTCACCTATAGAACAGGTACATCCTGAAAATATACAACTTTGGATTCAAATCTGAACCTGAATATGGTTGGGATGTTTTATATTTTTCATATTTCATAAAAGATAAAATTGTTAAAAGTATGCTCATGGAGAATTTTACAACCTAACATACCCACTCTTAGAAGAGCCCTGTGGGCTTGAACCATGTTCAATTTACACATACCTATTCAACCTTGCTTTGTTCAACTTTCTATTATAGGGGCAGGGGGTTTAATTTCTTGATCAGAGAGGCTATAATTTTGCATTAAGCGGTGCCAGTAAGGCTAAGGCTGACGAATGGTAGAAAGGAAACGAGTAGAAGAAACAAGCTCGCTGCTACTCCTGAGAGCTATGCTCACTGACTCAGAATTCCTTAATACTCAACAACTAATTCCTTAGATTCTCCACAATGCCTTCTCTCTCCACTACCCAACCCAATAAAATAGGATTGGGTCACACATTAAACCTCACTAATGCCGGCTCATCATTCTCTCCTTTCTTCCTATTTTTCCTAACAGACACCCTCCATATTTTGTGAGCAGCATGTGGATGACCAGACACGTCATCAACACCCAAATTCTTATCTATAAGAAATTCTCAAATGTTTCAAGATTTAACTTGATAACAAGATGTGAATGTGGATAGCTACTATAGTTCACCGAAAAACTTCCAAGGAGAATACAATCAAAACAATTTCTTCCCTGATTATTTCCATGCTGTATCATAGTTAATGTGAATTGGAATGAAAAGAATGTGAAGATAGTTAAATTACTAATTTTCAATAAACACCAGTCTGTACATGGTTCACAAGTCACAAGTGTGCATGACTTACTACGAAAGCTGAACGGATTAGCTCCTCGACATAATCAACAGTTGCGCCTTTGACAAAGTCGTACGAAATATTGTCAACAACCAATTTAATTCCTTCCTTCTCGAAAACTCTGCAAATACATTAAAGTAAAACTACGTCGTAATTTTTAAAAGACAAGAGTTTATCAACATACAGCAAGCATATCAACATTGAAATTTAACTATCCAAGAAGTAACACCTATCGTCCGAGTTCACTCTGTCATCCAGATTAAAAGCATACTGGAATCCCGAACATCCACCCGTTTCTACACTCAAACGAAGTATTTTTCCAGCAACTGATGGTTCATTAGAATTCAGTTCCTTAATTCTCTGTTGCAAATTCAAAATTCAAAAAGTTGGAATCAATTACATGTAATGATACACAAAGTTCCTGAGTTATATATATTATGAATACGAATAATAACAGGTATAGCAGATAAATAAGGTCCATCAATAAAAACCTAATGTAAATTTCATGAATGTGCAATTAGATCACAAAATCACTAACATAGAAAATCATAAAAGAATAACAGAAAAGTAAGCAATTGGTAGAACAAAGAACATACTCGAACGCAGTTTTCAGTTATGTGAACAGGTTCCACGTCAGCAGAAGAAGAAGACGAAGACGTAGCATGGTGAAGAACCGAAGAAGAAGAAGAAGAAAAAGATAAAGAAGAGAAAGAGGTTAGAAGATTCTCGTTGCGTTGAAATCGTGCTGCCAACGATGGAGCGAGCCGTCGAAACAGCGTCGTTTGCATCTCTCTCGCTGTGATCTTCTCTCTGATTCGTTTTTTTTTCTTAAAAGACCTCAAAATCGAATTTCAACCTAACTCACGGTCCATATTTCGCCACCTCATCGTAAGAAATATCAACGGCTCAAATTTCGCTAAACCGTCATAAATTTCTGAATATAAACAGAACGCAAAATTACCTTTCGCAAAACGGCGTCGTTATCATCGGAAATTCCTCCATCGTGAAACTCCAAGTAAGTGTAAAATCCTCGAATCTCTCTGTTTCAGTTTCAGATCTGAGTTTCATTGAACTGTAAATGCTACACACTGCATGCGATTTTCATTTATTTTTTAATTTTAAATTTCAACGTTCTCTGATTGTTCAGTTTCATTAGAGAAAAAGATGCAAAACAGCGAGGATCAAAAGTTTAGAATCCGAAGATTAGAGATTACAGATAAGAAAAAAGGATTCATAGAGTTACTGCAACAGCTTACAGTTTGCGATTCAGTTTCTGATAAGGATTTTGAGCATCGATTTCGGGAGGTTGATTCACTTGGAGATGATCATGTTATCGGCGTTATTGAAGATGAGGTTACCGGTAAGATTATTGCGACGGGGTGTGTGTTTATTGAGAAGAAATTTATAAGAAGTTGTGGTAAAGTTGGGCATATTGAAGATGTTGTTGTTGATTCGAGTGCTCGTGGGAAGCAATTGGGGAAGAAAGTGGTTGAGTTTCTCACCGATCATGCTCGTTCTGTTGGGTGCTATAAGGTTATTCTTGATTGCACCGTGAAGAATACGGTGTTCTATGAGAAATGTGGTTTTAAGCAGAAGGATGTTCAAATGGCTATGTATTTTGGCTGATTGATTATCTTTTTTTTAGCTTTTGAGTTTGTTTTGTTTCTCATGAAGGTGTGTTTGATGTCTTTGGAAGTCATGGTTGATGTCAGATACCATTGTTATGTTCAATAGTTCATTTTCTCAAATTGTTGCTTATGTGTTCTTTGTGAGTTCTTCTTTGATTTTAGCAAAGATATTCAAGCTAAAAAGATAAAGACAAGTATAAGATCTTGTACTCAGGTTGCAAATTTTTCCGACTCACCAATCCGCCCATACAATCCGGTTATTTACCAGTTAATTTGGTTCAGTTTTATCACCAAAATTACATAAGCATGCATACAAACTATGTAATATTCACATTCTTGATCTACTTGCATTTTTCTTCTTTGTTCTTGAATCACTAGCATATTAGTGTTAGAAACATACAAACATCAAACTGTAATCAAAGACACCTACTAAAACAACAGAATTTTTTAAACTAGTCTATTTTGAAAATTGAGCATAATCCTGTTGTGGGAAATTCAAAATTAAAGAGGGAACTTCAGTAGAAATTGCGCAGGTTAAATCCTTAATGCAATCTTTGGGTTAAAGGTCTTTAATACTTTCTCATCGATCTCTTCTTCAGATGGTAGTTATTCTTTTATTTTGTTGCAGTACAATCCCCCATTTGCTCTTCCATTTCAACGCCGTAACGAGATTGCATTGGAAGTGGAGTGGAAAAATCAGTAGGGACAGTATTTGCCAATATACAGTCTCAAGGTACTTTTGAAGTTTCATCATTTCACTGTTAGCTGAAAAAGATACCTGTTCTTTATCACGAATCAGACTCCAATACAACTATACAAGATAATTCATACTCATTAGTGATGCTTGTCTTTTTATTTTTTTCTATATAGGTCATGTGCTCAATATTGATGTTTGTCTATTTTGTAAATAGGTCTTGTACTCAATATTGATGCTTGATATATGTATGTAGACATACGTGTTTGTATGTGTAATCAGTTTGGCTATAATGTGTGTGTAAATCTAGCATAGGAAAAGTGTGGCGTCATATGGAAATTACATTCTTTCCCCAAAGAGTTTACCAATGTATAGTTGAACCTGAAAAGAAAGAGTATGAGAAATTATACAGTAGATTACTTTTCAGTGGTCTATCAAATATCGATACACCATGTACAACTGATATGAACCCCTCTCATCTATAAATTTTACCAATAATATCCTCACAGCAATGTAGCCTACTCAATTTCGTAGAAGCAACCATCTGCATTTTGTCTTGGAACATGTTTCTCTGATAGCATTGCCATGAGAACTTACTGTCGTGATGACCCCATTACAAATATAGCATGTCCCAAAACAGATAGATCTAAACAAAGAAATAACGAGTTTATTACATAAAATAGTGCAAACCCAAAAACACAGAAGCTAAAGCATTAAACTTCAGAAATAAGACTGCCCTAGGGCCAAAATGACCTAAAAATAGATGATTTGAGAGGGGTTTAATGTTGAAGTCTAGAAAGGCCATTGAGATAAAAGAGAATTAAAATCGAGGTATATCTTGTGTTAGAATTGGAGCTTCAATGAATTTAATTACTTGAATTATTCACTGAGAATGGTTTAATTTTGTCACTTTTACTGCCTACCAGTTCAAAGCAACTCCTGCTCGATATCAAATGCCTACCAGTTGAAGCCATCAGTTGAAGCCATCAGTTTCTGTTACTTTTACTGCCTACCAGTTCAAAGCACCTCCTGCTCAATATCAAATGCTAGTTGCTAAACACAGTATCTCAGGCTCTCAACCTCTCCTTGGCAATGAATTCTGATGTTGAATATGGATATCATCTCCAGCCCAGACTGGGTTGGATGCATAACTGAAACAAAAATTAAGGAGGGTAGAAATCTTACTAGAATGTTTTGTTTTATTTAAATTCAGACATATTTACTTAACAGAACCGCAGAATCGGACAATCCTACGAGTAGGATCACAATTCTGACTACCATGCTTGAGGCTACTAGCCTTCAAGTTCTATTGATTTATTTCTAAAATTAGATTTCTCACTTTAATCCTACAATCCCTCTTCCCTCTTCTTTCTCTCAAGGAAAGTGCACTTTACATTTCCCCTGGTAATAATTTATCTCAAAAACCATTTTAGGTAGATTTCATCAAATTGTATATGGAGTAAATAGTAGCAACAATAATAGGAAATTGACCTCTTATAAGAGCAGTATATTAACACCATTGTAATCATATTTTCTCCATTAACCCAAGTGTGAATGGCAAACATAATCATACTTTCTCCATTATTATTTTTTATGGGGAGGGTTGATTGGCATTTGAAAGATTCATGTGAATTCATACTTTACCTAAAGTGTTGGGGGCTAATAGCTGATGAAATAATTTCGAAACGTGATTTCTATTGAACTCATATATTGTATTATTAATATCATGCAGTTAATGAAAGTTTAAATTATTGAAGGGCTCTTTCGGTTGAGTTTTAATTTATAATTGTCACGTGTACTAGTTAGTTAGCATTTTGTTTCATTCAAATTGGTTGTTAGTTAGTTACATTGTGCAACACATATAAATATCAGCTTGTAATGTGAAATAAAAAATAATGAGAATTATCTCTATTCTTTTTTCTTCTTCTTCTCCTCCAAGATGTCAAGACATTAAAGTGTGTGTGTGTCTGTGCTATTACCTTCATCTTGCAATCTTGTTGCGCATTCACTGTGTGTTCATCACAGTGCCTTTGTTATAACAATTGGCATTTAGAGCCAGATCCAATCCAAAGGAAACACGAGTGAAAAATGAGGGGGTTTAATCCAAGGGAAACACTGAGTGATAATTTCTTGATAGGTAAGATGAATAACAATGGTTTTGGATCAAATATTCTGGTTCTTGATGGCAAGAACTTGGATTGTTGGAGTGCTTTGATGAAGTCCTTATTTGGAGCGCAAGAAGTGAGTGAAATTGTGCAAAATGGCTATGAGGATCTGGTGGCAAATCCAACTGATGCACAAAGAACTGCATTCAAGGAAGTCAAGAAGAAAGACTACAAAGCTCTGTTCTACATTCAGCAGAATGTTGACAATCAACACTTTGAGAAGATTTCTAAGACGACAAGATCCAAAGAAGCATGAGACATTTTAGAAAGTTATTACACTGGTGGAGAAAAGGTGAAGCTAGTGAAGCTACAATCCCATAGAAGAAAGTATGAGATGATGCAGATGGAAGAAGATCAGAAAGTAAGTGACTACTTTTCAAAATTAACAGCCACTGTTAATTAGATGCAAACTTGTGGTGAGAACATTACAGATCAAATGGTAGTAGAAAGGTACTGAGATCTTTGAGTCCGAAGTTTGATTTCATTATTGTAGCTATCCAAAAAGCAAAGGATGTTAAAACTATGAAAATTGAAGAGTTGGAAAACACATTGGAAGCACATGAGCTCCTGGTGTTTAATAGAAGTTCTGAGAGATCAGTTTCATAAGCATTTCAAGTTCAAACTTTCAAGAAGGAGGGAAATCAAAAGAATTTTAAGAAGAAGTGAAAAAACAAAGCAAATTGGTCCAACAATGAAAAGAAAGAGTGAAAAAGAGGCTGAATCTTCAAAGAGAGGAGGCTTTGGTAGATGTCAGAACAAGAAGAGGGACTTTGACAAAAGTAAGGTGCAATGCCTCAACTGTGAGAAGTATGAGCATTTTGCTGATGAATGCTGGTACCAAAAAGGTCAAAAGACTGATGGAGAAGCAAATTTGGCTCGTGGAGATGGTTCCAGTACAGTGTTGATGATGGCTACTACCAGTGATGAAAGGGTGAAGAATGAAGAGTGGTTTCTTGACTCTGGGTGCTCAAATCACATGACATCACATAGAGAAGGGTTGACAAGTTTTGATGCTAGCAAAAAAACAAGCATCAAACTGGCTGACAATAGAGATCTTGTGGCTGAAGGTAGTGGAAATATAGTGATTAGAAGCAATGATGGCAAGAGAATCATGATTGAAGATGTGATGTATGTTTCTGAGATGAAGTGTAATCTCATGAGAATTGGTCAATTAGTGGAGAAAGGATTCTCATTGACTATGGATGACGACTCTTTGAAGTTGTTTGATGCTAAGAAGAATTTGATGCTTAAATCAAACATGTCAAAGAATATAACATATAGATACAACATCTCAAGTGAAAAGATGATGTGCCTGTCTGCAGCAGTGAGTGAAGATGTTGAAGATCTATGGCACAAGAGGTATGGTCACCTAAACTTTATAAGTCTTAGTGATTTGAGTTCTAAAGAACTGGTGTATGGCTTGCCAAAACTGAATGTCAGAAAAGCCATTTGTGAAGTATGTGTAAAGAGCAAGCAAAATAGGCTTTTTTATTTATTTTATGAAGCACCTAAAAGAGCTAGTGTAGCACTGCAGGTGGTTCACTATGATATGTGGTCCTTTTGAAGCATCTTCATTAGGGAGAAACAGATACTTCATCACATTTGTTGATGAATGTACAATAATGATATGGCTGTGTATACAATAAAGCTTAAGAGTGAGGCTTTAGATGTATTAAAAAAAAATTCAAAATCTTAATAGAAAAGGAGAGTGATAAATCTATTAAGATCTTGAAAACTGATGGTGGAAGAGAATACACCTCAAAAGAATTTGAAGCCTTCTGTGTTAATTAAGGCATTATGCATGAGGTAACAACTCCTTATACACCTCAGCATAATGGACTTGTTGAGAGAAGGAATAAAACTCTACTGAATATGGCAAGAAGCATGATCAAGCAGAAAAACCTACCACACAAGTTTTAGGGTGAAGCAGTCACTACAGCTGCTTACATTCTGAATAAATGTCCTACAAAGAAGCTGAATTTGAAGGTACTAGAGGAAGCTTGGTGTGGAAGAAAACCTAGTGTGAATAATTTCAAAGTTTTTGGCTCTTTGTGCTACAAACATGTACCAGATGTTAGAAGAAGCAAGCTTGAAGATAAGAGTGAGATTATGATACTTATAGGCTATCATCCAACAGGT